GAGGGATGGAGTTTAAAAACAGGGAGGCTATGCTGCAGCTGTATAGGGTCCTGGTGAGGCCACACCTGGAGTACTGTTTGCAGTTTTGATCTCCTTACTTGAGAAGAGATATACTAGCACTGGACGGGATGCAGAGGACATTTACTCGGTTGATTCCAGAGTTGAGAGGGTTGGATTATGAGGAGAGACTGAGTAGACTGGGATTATACTCATTGGAATTCAGAAGAATGAGGGGAGATCTTATAGAAACATATAAGATTATGAAGGGAATAGATAAGGTGGAGGCAGGGAGGTTGTTTCCGCTAGCAGGTGAAACTAGACTAGAGGGCATCGCCTCAAAATAAAGGGAAGCAGATGTAGGACTGAGGTCAGGAGGAACTTCTTCACCCAAAGGGTTGTGAATCTGTGGAATTCCCTGCCCAGTGAAGTGGTTGAAGCTACCTCGCTGAATGTTTTTAAGGCAAGGCTAGATAACTTTTTGAACAGTAAAGGAATTAAGGGTTATGGTGAGTGGGCGGCTAAGTGGAGCTGAGTCTCAAAAAGATCAGCCATGATCTTATTAAATGGCGGGGCAGGCTCGAGGGACCAGATGGCCTACTCCTGCTCCTAGTTCTTATGTTCTTATGTAAGTTGCCAATGGAAAAGGACAAGGTTGAGTTGCATTTTCACCTGCCTAAACGGACACAGGTAGCCAGTACTAGGAGAATAGTGCGTAAAGTGTCCATCTGAATTATATACTCAAGTACACTGATATGGGGCTTATACCCACAATCTTCTGACTTTACAGTCTAAGTTTAGCACCAGCTGAGCCAAGCTGACACTTGGCAAATAACTATAACACTCTCGTTCCAGGTGAGATTCAGAATGTTCTTGTTGTATTTCTGTACTTAATTGTTGTATAACTCCAGATGTCAGGCAAAAAAGCAGTGTTATTAAAGCAAGTGCATTTTCATCTTGATGGAGATGCAATGGATTCTGAGAATCTCTGTGGAATTATAACTGAACTTCTTTGCTTATTTCGTGAGTTCTCATTCAATTCTAAGCAGCAACATTTGGGAAGATATAAAGACAAATGCTTGAGGCTCTTTCTTATTTATCTTTGCCACATGCCAAGAGAATCCTAGGACAAAATTGCTTGGATCTTCTGAGGATGAGGTGTTCTCACTTCTCAATTGTATGAAAATTTCAAACTGGTTAGAGGTTAGCCTGTCAGATGGAAAAATCAACCCTGTGCAATGTTGAACTTTTAATTGAGGTTGTATGTTGGGAACAGCATCTGGGATGAGGAAAAGTGCTATTTCCTGTTGATCTCAATGGTGTCTTGAAGTTGATGAGAAAGACTGGTTCTTTTTAGTTTGCATTTACTGCTCATAAGGTGTATTTGTGTCAAACTTGTGTCACATATGTATTAAAAATACAGAGTAAATGTTCCAAAATACTGACGTCTATCTGGGTTGCAGTATTTTCACTTTGTGACTTTTTTATATTTTCATCTTTAATTCTTTTTGTGTGAGTGATGTGTTATGTGAATGTGTTTCCTCCAGCAATGTGGACTTGGGATTTGTTTCCACAAGCTCTAATAGCTTTCCAATACTTTTAGTGATGATTCTTCACACTTCACCTGAAGGGTGAATTGTCAGCTAGCAACTTGACTGTGCAAAATCGCAACTTGCTTGATCGTGATCTCCTGTTATAACCAATGTACCTACATGCAACAGTTTACACTGGTGATCATCTATGCTGTGGAACAGGAACCAGTTTCCCATCTCTTGAGCATATGTGGACACTAATGTGAATTGCATTGGCAGTAAGAGACCTAGCTGAGATCATTTAATTTAGGAGAGACTTGAAAACAGATACTATAACCGGTTTATTTACTCACTGAGTCATGGAGAACTCGAACAGAATTTTTTTCTTAAAGATCTCAAATCAGGATGTTTTGAGCAATGTTTCGATAATGTTTTGACTCACTGGGGTAGCGTACTGAAATTAAAGCCCCGCTATTCCTGATGTCACAACAAAAGTTAAATATTTGAAAAATACATGCGAAGTTCCCCAGTCTACCTGACTTTCAGACCCAGATTGATAGAAAGCACAGACTAGGTCTCTGTATTGAACAAGAATTACTATTTATTACTAGTAATTAGGCTGTAGTTACAGGGAAACAGATGTGAACCAACAGCATATAACACCATTAAGTAAAACTCTGAATAGTTTGTAAATTACCTCTCTCTCTCATTCAGTCAGTCCCTTATGACTTCTCTGATGTCCAGCATGTCATTTTTCTCCAGTTTCTTTCATTTGTTGGTGAGAGACATAAAGAGACTAGTACACTTATTTTAAAAAGTTTCTGACTTATCCGTGAAAAGTCACCACATACAACAACTATTTCAGGAAAAATAAACTGGTTTTCTTCAGGTTAACAATGAGTTTTGGCTGGAGAGAACAAAGACTGCTGAGCTGGAGGAGAACTGAATGCTTTTTTCTCTCTCTCTCTCATTTGTTCCCAACCCTTAAGCTGTTCAGTTACTGGCGAACCAATCAGTTTTTGGCAAGCAAAAGATCTGTCATTCATAACAAGAGGTTGGTCAAGGGACTACCGACAGTTACCAGCAGAAAATGCATCACTATACTCCTTTGACTCCAAATCCTCTACAACTCTGCAGTTACTGCTTGTTCAAAAACGTTGTTTACATAATGCCTAGCATTAGTGTCAGGTTATTTGCTTTTCTAAATTGCAGCTCTTGTTTTAGAAAGTTGTTTTAGAAAACATTTCTTTCTCATTTCAATCCCAGTTTTTAAAACATAAAAGTAAAAGGCACGATCCTCACAACATCAGTGGCATTTCCCAAATCTGCACCTGGTTCAGCTTATTGCTGCTGGAAACAATCAGCCATGCCTATATAGATTAATCCAGCATAGCGCTGACGGACCTTCTACATTCTATCCTCTGTAAACTTGAAATTATACAAAACTCCTTATTTGCACCAAGCTTGTTTTCTTACTGCCCTGTGCTCACTGATCTGTCATCGTATTAATGCAAAATACAGTGGATGCTGAAATTCTGAAATAAAAACAAAAAACAACTGGGCTTTCTCAGCAGATCAGGCAGCATCTGCTTGAGAAACAAAGTTAATGTTTCAATTCTGATGAAAGGTCATTTTGACCTGAAAATGTTGGCCTGGATTTTTAGCACTGAAGCAGATAGCAGAAGTTAGGAAACTTCTCTTCAAAGTGCCCATGTGTGCAGCAGCTGAAGGCTGCAGTCGGGACAGCTGACAAAGAGAGAGGGATGCGTAACAACAAGCCCCAAGCCCAGAAATCCTTTACTCCAATGGAACTCCAGTGGAACATCAGTGTCCCAAGGAAAATACTGCTTCATTGACAGCTCTGGATTTCTGATCTCTGCTGTCCGTTGCACAATACTCATTTATATGAATTTGAGGCTTCTGCTATTGGCATCATAAAGGATCTGGATGATTGATATTTTATTGCCTTGGAGTCAAATAACTGTTTTTAAGTAGTAGATAGTTCTGTATTTTTTAAGGATTGTTTACTTATAACATTGATACAAAAGGATTTTTGGTTCTATGCATTGTAAAGTGGATTGGTGGAAATGGAAGTGGTATAGAATCATAGAATCCCTACAGTGCAGAAGGAGGCCATTCAGCCCATTGAGTCTGCATGACCCTGCAAAGAGCATCCCACCCAGACCCAGCCCCCCATTGTACCCTAAAACCCCCAATTTACCCTGGCTAATCTACACATCCCTGAGCATTATGGACAGTTTTCAGCATGGCCAATCCACCTAACCTGCACATCTTTGGACTGTGTGAGAAAACCAGAGCATCCAGAGGAAACCCATGCAGACATGGGGAGAACGTGTAAAGCAGCAGTGTTAAGCACTGAGCCACTGTGCTGCATGACACAGGGAATGAGGCGTCATATGACTGGATGTGGGAGGCAGAATCTCACGATGAACCTTTTGATCTCTCTTTTGAAATGGTTCCCTTGTAAACAATGGTTCACAACACCTTTTGAGGTGCCATGAACCAAGACTGTTTGTGACCTGAACCACCTTGCACACTTAAACTGCATTGCTGAAGTTTGGAAAACCTGGACATAAGGTCAGAAATCCTGCATCAGGACATGCCGGTCATATTTAACAGGCTCCTGAGTCAACCTGACTTTCTGAAATCCAGCTTGTCAAATCTGCAGATGCTGTCTGACTTGCTGAACATTTCCAGCATTATGTTTTGTTTTTACTTAAGTCTTATCCTTGTTTTCAGATGTCTCCACAGCCTCAACCCCTCTCTATCTCCATAGTCTCCTCCAGACCTAGAATTTGCCAAGATTTCATCAGTCCTCTAATTTGGCCTCCTAAATGTCCCTGATTTTAATGGTTCAACTGTTGGTAGTCATGTTTTCATCTACTTTAGTCCTAATCTCTGTAATTTTCTCCTCGGAGCACTCTACTTCTCTCACTTTCTTTAAATCCTTCTATCTTAGCCATCTGCCTTACTGTCACCTTTTGAAACCATGGCAAATATTGGGTTTTTGTCCTGTGAAGTGCCTTTTGGAAATTAATGCACTGCATAAGTATATATGAATGTTCTAATTGACTGACTGGCTGGTCATTGTAATATAGAACAGTTAACTAATTAGCTATGTCCTTGGTCCTTTTGTTTATTTTGGTGTATTTTAGAAATGCACAGTGAGGAATCATTTCAAATAGTAATATTTAGAATTGTCCTCATTGAGCATGACTGGAAAGGTGTAAAGTAGGGCCAGTGTTTCCAAGTGATGTGTGTTTTTTGGATGCCTGTCAATCCCACTCACCATTTCCTCGCACTGCACTGTTGTTGGTTTTGCTTTCATGTCTGATCAATATTTTCTTAGACATGCTCACTTGTGCTGCCACGCTGCTGCTGCATAGGGGATTCACATCATTTTTCACATATCGTGCCCAGAATGATTTACCTTTCCTTTGTTAACAGAAGAATGGCTTATTATCGCAAGTTTTGGTGTGCTTAGCGCTCTCACTCTCTTCTACATGATAATCAAAGCAACCACAGGCACAGCAGAAGATGAGTAAGTATTCAATCAATTCTCTTTTTATTTTTCATATATCATATTTTCTAGGTGACATTTGAGATTATGTTGATTTGTAGTTTGCATTTTTGGAGGTTTCTTGCCTTTACTCTCAATGAACATTATGAGAGAATTTTTCTGATTTCACCGTTGGCTACTTAATCTCAACTATGTCTACTGATTCATCTACTCAGAAAAGCTTGTTCCAGCCCTTTCTGATAAAGAAAATTAATAATTGGAAAATAAGTAACATTTTAACCATTCAGAAATGATAGTGTTTTTTTTCTGAATTTCACAGGGCAGTGATGTAATTTATTTATGGATATTTGTATGATATGATAATGGTACCAACTTGTTGAATCCAGTAAAATCTGATTCAGGCAGTTGAGCCAAACTGATTTTGGATCAGTGGCCTTTAAATGCAGAGCTAACACCTTTTAAACCCTTCACATATTTGATGTAAATATAGTTTTACATTTAAAACCATTAACTGCTTGCAGATCTGGCTACACAGTAGATGTACAATCTGATCTATATATGCTATATTAAATATTCACTCCTCGGATACTGCAGCAGCCAATGTTCAAATACAACATGACCTGGACAATATCCAGGCTTGGGCTGAAAAGTGGCAAGTAACATTTGCGCCATATAAATGCCAAGCAATCTACCACTGCCCCTTAATATTCAGTGGCATTACTATCACTTAATCCTTATGGCATTGTGGGTCTACCTGCAGTTTAGGATTGTATTTGTTCAAGAAGGCAGTTCACCAGTATCTTCCCCCAGGGGAAACTGGGGACGGGCAAAAATGCCGGCCAGCCATGATATCTATATCATAAGAGTGAATTTTAATAAAGAACATAGGAACACAGTCATGCAGAAATCTAAAGCAGACTGATAAATTTAATGGCTAAGAAATGCAGAAAAGTTGGTGTATTTTTGGCATTCCCTTCATTACATCATACTAGTTTCAAACTCAGCAAAGGTGATAAATTTCGACATGGTTAGATGGCCAGCAGCTTTCAGGGTACATACAGTGACATAATCATCGATAGCCATTCATTATCCCATTTCTTTCACATATTTTAAGATTAGCAGACGGAGTAGCAGCTCAACGTATACCTCTAAAATTGTAGTGCAGTGGCAACACCATAGCTGTGTTCTGCCCATATTGGCAAGAACATACAAGATACATAAGTGTTAGTCAGTGACCATCCTAACAATAGAAGATTTAATCATCTCCCCTTGGCTTTCAAGAGCAGTGTCATCTCTGAATCCCCCACTGTCAAAAATTGCAGAGTGGGGCTGTTTGCAGAGGATTACCATAGATGTAAGACTGAAATCAACCAATTGTCTAAGCACTGGCTACTTGAGCAATAGGCTGAGAATTCTGTGACAAACACTTCTTCCCCAAAGCCTGTCTGCGATCTACAGGGCAAAACCTCAGAAGTGTAAAGTTACAATCTCCACTTTTCCTGGATGAGTGCAACAATGCTCAAGAAATTCAATACCATCTAGGACAAAGCAATTTGCTTGATTGGCACCTCCCTCTTCACCCCACAACCGCCACCCCCCCCCCCGACCCCCCCAAAACCCCGGCCACCTTCAACCTTCACTTCCTCCACCATATTGCAAGCCATAAGCAGTGTGTATCATCAGCAGGATGCACTGCAGCAACTTGCTAAGGCTTCTCCAGCAATACTTTCTAAACCTCTGACTTGTATTACCTGTCAGAACAAGGATAGTAGATGCTTAGGAACTCCACCAGCTGCAAAGTTTCCCTCAAAGTTGCACATCATGCTGATTTGGAACTGTAGTTGGATCACAATTCCAAAATTCCCTCCTTCACAACGTTGTGTAAACCTAGACCATGTGGACTGCATTAGTTCACAAAGGTGGCTCACTACCATTTTCTTGAGGACAATTACGATTGGACAATACACGCTCGCCTTGTCAGCAATGCCCACATCCCTAAAACAACTAAAATGAGAAACGGCAGGTGACCATTCAGCCCCTCAAGTCTGTTCTGCTATTTAATAAGATTATGGCTAATGAGTGTCTTAACTCCATCCGCATGCCTTGTCTCTATATTCCTTAACTTCTGCCTAGTAAAGTATCTATCAATGTCAGATGTAAAATTATTAATTGAGTTAGCATCTATTGCTTTTTCTGCGAGAGAGCCCCAAATTCTACCACAATGTGCATGAACTGCCTCCCAGCTTCTCTTTTGAATGTCATGATTTTGAGGTTCTCCTTGTTCTGGACACACTCTGTGTATATTGTCAATGCTTTTCAAAGCCCAGGAGACTTCAGTCAATGCTAGAATGTTAAAATGGGGGTAGGATGAAAACGCACATAATTCATCTTCAGGAACAGAAAGAAACAACTAGTTTCCAACTATGATAAACGGATAATAACTATCAAGTAAGTCTGTGCCATTAGGCATGATGGAACCACAGATCCAAGAATAACCTAAGATTTGTTTGACATCATTGATTTCCAAGCAATAAATTGCAGCAGATAAATTGAAAATAAACTGCGTATCTACTACAGCATTATTGAGGATAGATTTGAAATGCAATTTCTGAGAATTATTTACTCTTGTATGTTATGAACAATCTACAAGAGGTAGATAATATTCTGAAATCATTCAGTGAAATTGAGATTACACAAGTTAAGTGAACAGTATGATTCCCATTTTAGATATGAAAATGAGACAATACAGTGGTGAAAGATTGGAAATGAAAGAAGATAATTGAACAGGTAAGTACCATCATGGCGAGTACTTCAATGGACTTTCACCATATCACTTTTAAAGATGTTTGATTTTGGATGAATGCTATTCTATAGGATTCACAGAAAACCTGCTTTTCAAGTATGTTTAGTGGATTAGATGGAGAGGGAGATGGCAATTGAACTACACGTTTCACCAAATTTTACTGTCACCTTGACAGCCTCCTGAAAACTGATTTTAGTAGTGATAGTATTTTTCACCTTAAATATATGTAAAAAGAAATCAAACCCATCAGCAAAAGGAGATCCTTCTTCTCTATGGGGAATGTGCAAAAGTGCTTTATTGTGACTAACTTCCCCCACTCTGAGGTTTAGGAACCCTGTAAATGAAGATTATATTTGAAGGAAAACCCAGTGCCAAATTTAGAGGAACAGCATGTGAGAGTATCTACCTGTGGTGATAATGATGTGTAAAGATATTGTACCCTTTGAATTACATAAAATAATAGATTATGCTACTTTAGTACAATATTTCTTCATGCTTCCAATTTTTTTCACTTGTCAAGTTATAGAACCTATTTAACACCTACCACATGCAGGGTGGAATTTAATGGTCACAGTGATGGAAATTCCACTGGCTGGAAAGCTGGTGGCAATCTTGTTGTAGCCCTACTTGAGCTGATAAGCGGCAAGTCGAGTGCCAGGCAATTTCCATTTCAAGAACAGAATCTTACTGTCCCCCCTTGATATTCAATGCCATTAACATTAGCTGTGAAACCCTATTGTCAATATCCTAAAGGTTACCGTTGACCAGATTCTGGACTGCCAGCCATGCAAATATTGTGGCTACAAGAATAGGTTGGAGATTGGGAATTGTGCAGTTACTCTCCACCAGACTCCTGAAAGCCTGTCTACCATCTTCAAGGTACCAACCAGGAATATGACTGAATAATCTGCACTTGCCTGGATGAGTGCATATCTGACAACACTCAAGAAGCTCAACACCATCAGGGACAAAGCATACAACAGATGCATGGGAACACAGTCACCTTCAAATTCTCCTCCAGGTTGGACTTCATCCTAACTTGGAACTATGTCACTTTACTACCACTGGGTCACAATCATGGAATTCCCTCCCTAATAATTGGTGTACTTGTCAGTGGTCAAAGAAGGTAGCTCATCACCTTCTCAAGGGACGTTAGGGATGAACACAAATCCTAACAATTCACATCCTGTAAATAAATTTTTTTAAGAAAAATAAAACTGGGCCCTCCTCCCCAAGTTACTTAATGCAAACAGGTACTTTTCTCGTTAACAATAGTCTACATCTTCAGATGTCCCACCTCTGAGAACCGCTACTGACAAATGTAAAGGATCCCATACCCAAAACTGGCAAAACTGGGGTAATGCACAAAATACCACGGAAGGACTGTGAGAGACATTACATAGGCCAAAGCAGAAGAAAATTGACGATACGGATACATGAACACCAACTAGCCACCAAGAGACACAACCAATTCTCACTTGTCTCACTACACACGGACAACGAGGGACACGTTCAATTGGGACATCATTCAATTCAACACATCCATAATCGCACAAGCCAAACAGAGACGCATCACAGAATTCCTGGAGGCCTGGTATTCCAACCGGAACTCCATCAACAAACATGTTGAATTAGACCCTGTGTACAAACCACTAAGAAACAAAACCGGAAATAATACCAATCGCTTGAGCAAACAGAGGCATATAAGTAACAAGCGGGACAGAAAACCGATGCTTCACCAGAGGCACACTGACTATGTTACATAGCAGGGTGATGAAACTTTTGCAACCTAACCCACCGGCTTGGCAAGCATGTCTACAACCTCATTCCATTATTGTTTCTGTAATTTAAATCATTTCCAATCCTCCAATCATCTCAGATCGTTCTTTTTTTCTTTCCTGTACACTGTTTACTGGCTGTGTTGCTCCTTTACAAGATAATAATTTTCACAGAGCTGAAACATGGCATTTAACCAAATTCTCTCCACAGTTGCTATATAATTTGAGTTCTGTCATTATTTGCTTTCATTCATAATTTCCATGGTTTTAGTTTACTCTCTCCCACATTTTTTACTGTTTTTTTTAAATGTCTTTGACTCAAGGGTAACCTGGCAAAGCATTTGTTGCACATCAGTAGCTGGATTTCAAAGGTATGTTGGATAACCTTAAAGCATCCAGTTCATGTGGTGAAGGTATTGCCTCAGTGCTGTTTAGGGTGTTCCAGGATTTTGGCCCACTCATGATAAAGAAAGATCTATAAATATTCAGCTCAAAGCTAATGTGCTCGCTGAAACTCTACGAAAGTAAAGCAAAAGGGCTAGGGAACGTATTGCTGAAAACAAAGGGAGATGCTGTCAAACCTTTTCATCTTGTACTCATCAGGACTGACACAACAATGTCAAATTTCAAAGGAAGCAAAAAATATACTGCATGAGTGAGAGAGACTCAGAACACCATAGAGAGTTTCTTATTATTTTTCAACATTTTAAACAAATGCTTAGAAACCAGGCCATTCTTCAAACTTCATGTTTAATGTTTTTTCACCTTTGAATTTTCCAATTAGGCATATTCTAGCTTTATGGTTACATCACTGAACTAATAATCAGAGACCTGGAGAAATTTTGAATTGTGTCACCACAGTTGTGGAATTTAAATGCAACTAATTAATCAGTATCAGGAATAGTAACTTTCTAAAGTTGATTGGAGGAGACTGTTTACAGGTAAAAGGACGATTGACAAGTGGGAAGCTTTCAAAAATGTGATAACGAGAGTACAGTTCCTGTTAGAGTGAAAGGTAAGGCTGGTAAAATTAGGGAACAATGGATGAATAAAGATCTTGAGGTTCTAGTCAAGAATAAAAAAAGAATCATATATTAGGATATAGATAACTGGGATCAAATGAATCTCTTGAAGAGTATAAAGAGTGTAGGGGCATCCTTAGGAGGGAAATCAGGAAGGCAAAGATGGGATATGAGATAACCTTATCTGCCAAGGTTAAGGATAACCCAAAGAGTTTCTACAAGTAATTTAAGAGCAAAAGAGCAGCTGGAGAGAGAGAATAGGGCCTTTTAAAGATCAAGGTTGTCTTTATAGAATATAGAACAAAGAACATTACAGCACAGGAACAGGCCCTTCGGTCCTTCAAGCCTGCGCCGATTCAGATCCTCTATCTAAACCCTGTCGCCTATTTTCCAAGTATCTGTATCCCTCTGCTCCCTGCCCATTCATGTATCTGTCTAGATACATCTTAAATGATGCTATCGTGCCCGCCTCTACCACCCCCGCTGACAACGTGTTCCAGGCACCCACCACCCTCTGCATAAAGAACTTTCCATGCATATCTCCCTTAAACTTTTCCCCTCTCACCTTGAAAGCGTGACCCCTAGTAATTGAGTCCCCCACTCTGGGGAAAAAGCTTCTTGCTATCCACCCTGTCTATACCCCTCATGATTTTGTAGACCTCAATCAGCGTCCCCCCTCCACCTCCGTCTTTCTAATGTAAATAATCCTAATCTACTCAACCTCTCTTCATAGCTAGCACCCTCCATACCAAGCAACATCCTGGTGAACCTCCCCTGCACCCTCTCCAAAGCATCCACATCCTTTTGGTAATGTGACGACCAGAACTGTACACAGTACTCCAAATATGGTCGAACCAAAGTCCTATACAACTGTAACATGACCTGCCAACTCTTGTACTCAATACCCCGTCCGATGAATGAAAGCATGCCGTATGCCTTCTTGACCACTCTATCGACCTGCGTTGCCACATTCAGGGTACAATGGACATGAACACCCAGATCTCTCTGTGCATCAATTTTCCCCAGGGCTTTTCCATTTACCGTATAGTTCACCCTTGAATTGGATATTCCAAAATGCATCACCTCGCATTTGCCTGGATTGAACTGCATCTGCCATTTCTCCGCCCAACTCTCCAATCTGTCTATATTCTGCTACATTCTCCAACAGTCCCCTTCACTATCTGCTACTCCACCAATCTTAGTGTCATCTGCAAACTTGCTAATCAGACCATCTATACCTTCCTCCAGATCATTTATGTATATCACAAACAACAGTGGTTTCAACACGGATCCCTGTGGAACACCACTGGTCACAGTTCTCCATTTTGAGAAACTCCCTTCCACTACAACTCTGTCTCCTGTTGCCCAGCCAGTTCTCTATCCATCTAGCTGGTACACCCTGGACCCCATGCCACTTCACTTTCTCCATCAGCCTACCATGGGGAACCTTATCAAACACCTTACTGAAGTCCATGTATATGACATCTACAGCCCTTCCCTCATCTATCAACTTTTCACTTCCTCAAAGAATTCTATCAAGTTGGTAAGACATGACCTTCCCTGCACAAAACCATGCTGCCCTACACTAATAAGCCCATTTTCTTCCAAATGTAAATAGATCCTATCCCTCAGTATCTTCTCCAGAAGCTTCCCCACCACTGACGTCAGGCTCACCGGTTTATGTTGAACCTCAGGGGATGGGAGAGATATTGAATGAATAGATTGCATCAGTTTTTACTGTGGAGAAAGAAATGGAGGCTAGAGGACTCAGGGAAATAAATATTGATGTTTTGAAAACAGTTCACATTACAGAAGAGTAAGTGCTGGAGGTCTTAGAAAACAAAGGTATCTGAATCCCAGGGCCTGATCAAGTGTATCCCCGGATGTTGTGGGAAGTTAGGGAGGAAATTGCAGACCCTTTAGAAGTAATATTTTTATCAGCTATAACTATGGATGAGGTGCTGGAGGACTGGAGAGTGGCTAATTTTGTGCCTTTGTTGAAGAAAGGCTGTGAGGAGAAACCTGGGAACTATAGACCTGCGAGTCTGACACGGGTGATGGGATAAGTATTGAAGGTGATTCTGAAAGATAGGATTTACATGCATTTGAAGAGGTAAGGAATGATTAGGGATAGTGAACGTGGTTTTGTGCAAGGAAAATAGTGTCTCACTAACTTGTTTCTGCTTTTTGAGAAAGTAACCAAAAAGATCGATTGAGGGCAGAGCAATAGACGTTCTTTACTTGGACTTTAGTAAAGCTTTTGATAAGATTCCGCATGGTAGACTAATTAGTAAATTTAGATCACAGGGGATTTAGGTTGAGCTTGCCAATTGGATACAAAATGGCTTGACGGTAGGAGACTGAGGGTGATGGTGGAGGGTTGTTTTTCGGCCTGGAGGCTTTTGACCAGCAGTGTTCCATGGGGGTGGGTGCTGGGACAACTTTTGTTTATCATTTATATAAATGATTTGGATGAAAATGTAGGAGTCCTGGTTAGTAAGTTTGCAGATGACACCAAAATTGGTTGTATAGTGGACAGCAAAGAAGGTTATCTAAGATTACAAAATAGATCTTGATCAATTGAATCAATGGGCTGAGCAGTGGCAGATGGAGTTTAATTTGGATAAATGCTCGGTATTGCATTTATAGGTAAAATAAACAAGGGTAGAACTTATACAATTTATGGTAGGGCCGGGGTACTGTTATAGAACAGAGAGACCGTGGGGTTCAGGTACATAATTCTTTGAAATTTGCATCACAGATAGACAAGGTGGTTAAAAAGCCTTACCTCATTGCTCAGACCTTTGAGTATAGGAATTGGGACATCACGTTGAGGTTGTACAGGATGTTGGTGAGATCTCTTCTAGTGTACTGTGTGCAGTTCTGATCACCATGTTATAGGAAGGATATTATTAAACAGGAGCAGATTCAGAAAAGATCTACCAGCATGTTGCCGGAAATGGAAGGTTTGAGTTATAAATATAGTATGGATAGCTGGGACTTTTTTTCACTGGAACGTAGAAGTTTGAGGGTTAACCTTTTACAGGTTTATAAAATCTTGAGGAGCATAGATAAGATGAATAGGTATCTCTTCCCTAAAGTGGGGAAGTTTACAACTAGGCGGCATATTTTAAAGGTGAGAGGAGAAAGATTTAAAAAGAACATGAAGGGCAACTTTTTTCACACAGAGTGGTTAGTGTGTGGAATGAACTGCCTGAGGAAGTAGAGGATGCAGGTACAATTTCACTGTTTAAAAGACATTTGGATAAGTACATGAATAGGAAAGTTTTGGAGGGATATGCATCAAATGCAGACAGGTGTGAGTAGTTTAGTTTGAGAACAAGGTTGGCATGGACTGTTGGACCACAGGGTCTGTGTATGACTTTATGACCATGAATCTACCAAAAATCCATCTGATTCACTAATGTCCTATAGGGAAAAGGAAATCTGCTGTCCTTACTTGTTCCTGGTGATGGGTGACTCCAGATCCACAGGAGTGAGGATTGATATACAATTGTCCTCTCTTATGTCCTAACAGTTAGGAATGAGCAATAAATGCTAGCCTTGTCAACATCCTGTGAATGAATAAAAAGAATCAGATGGTGACATTTATATAAAATTTCTGGTCACAAGGTTAATGTCGATCTGTAATTGACCTGACATGTTTGGTATATCGAAGGAGAGGGAAATAGAATTAATGTTTCATTCATGTGTCTTGACTCTCACCTACACTGTATATCTAATTGTAATTATGAAAATCATCAAGAGTTGATAGGGATTGGATTTTATCCTGCATTAAATGCTCAGGAGATTCCACGTGTTAGATTTATTACAGAAATCAATTTATATTTTAGCTGTCAGAGGGAAGTAAAAGATAAGCAACGTCATTGCATATTCTAATTAGAGGTAACAAAAACAGAAATCACTGGAAAAGCTCAGTGGACCTGGCAGCATCTGTGGAGAGAAAGCAGAGTTAACGTTTCTAGCCCAGTGACCTTTCTTCAGAACTGACAGACCTGCTGAGTTTTACCAGCAATTTTTGATTTTGCTTCTGATTTCCAACATTGAGTTTTTTTTTTGTTTAAAATTAGAGTTACTGGATTCTCATTAACCCTCCACTAAAAGCAAATGAATTTCAAAGATGTAGAAGCTCAGCCATGGAGAACCTGAAGCTCCTTACGTTATAACATATCAAATACCTCTGTTGTGTTAAATTACACATAATTACTATTAATAAGTTTTTCTGACACTAAAACAAGATATCCACATGGATATTTGCAAAATAGTACAGTTGCAATAAATATAATACTCCCTTGAGGCAAGCATGAAGGAATGAAATACAGCTGTTTTACCAGTCATGCAATCCCAGTGGGACATGTGCTGGCTGCCCAAAACTGAGATGAGAGAATTTAATACTCTGCAGGTGAGCTTATCATTCCAAATGTTTTCTCCTCTCTTATATGTTTAAGATCACTTAGCTGCCTCCCTTCAGAAGATCTGAAAAGAGCTTTAGGCGAGAGCCCAGATGTTGACTCTTCAAACTGGTAGCATGGATCTTTATATTCAACTGAACAAACAGGATTTCTGATTTAATATATTTACGAGACGACACATTCTGGATTTTCTGATTGTTGTGCAAATGGATATGATCAGAAAACAAGGCTAGCCACCTCTGAAAAAGCACAATATAATCAATAAAGTGTCTAAGTTATGTGTCTAAGTAGTGTCCCAGTTGAATCCATAACTTAGTTTGAGGTGAGACTCTACCAAACCGAGGCAAGCAGATATTGCTTTGATGTTTGACTTGAGGTTTAGTTAGTTTTACAATGGTCCAACCATACATAAAGTAACAAATAAAGTTTGAATTTTAGAGAACAAATCCTTGTTCAGTTGAGTAAAATTTATACTTTGATCTGTATTCAAAATTTTTCAGCTAAAATAAAGAAGATCAATATATTTAAAATGCTTCTTTTAAAGACTAAATATACCGGATATTTACAACATGACTTTTAATAAACTTTTCCTTCTCTTCACAGGCCTCTATGCTGTTGAATCCAACCCTGCTGTAGCAACAGACCATTTGGAAATGCCTTCCTTTTCACTAGAGTTTTGCTAAAGCAAAATCTATTTTTTATATGTTATTTTTTCACATGCATCAATGAACGCTTTGTAAGAAATATCTTTCAAATAAAAAAAGGAACCACATTTGTTTTATGCTCTTATTTGCCTGGGCACTAATTGTATTGAGATTCCTTAATTGCTGGCAAACAATTTGCTGTAAGGTTCTTTGCCATTGGGGAATCTCACTTACTCCTGAGGGATGCGTACTTTGAAGATCTCAAATATTACATTTTAATTTTGTATAATTTTAAGTTACGAGACAAACGTTCTCATTCCAATTATTCGGATTAATTTTATGCAACCTTTTGAGTTTTCTTTCCCACATCTTATGTACATGTGCTAATATCTAAAGAGTCTTATGCTGTTATTGTTCCTTGAATAAATTACAGTGTGAGCTAAACCACGGACAATTTACAAACAAGAAAATAAACATTCTGGTCCAACAACATTATTTTCTGGTATTCTGTCTCCAACAGAAAATATTTCAGCCTAGTCTCTGATGCTCCTGAAGACAAACAATGTTTTTTATTTGCAAGCTGTTTAATTCCTATCCCTGATTGTTCAGGAGGAAGTGGCGGTGTGCTGCCTCCTTGAACTGCTGCAGTCTGTGGGCTACCAAGCTATCCATTATGCTGTTAGGAAGGAAGTTGATTTTGGCCCAGTGACAGCAGAGGATCAATGATATAGTTCCAAGTCATGATGGAATGTGGCTTTGAGAGGAAACTGTAGGTGTTGGTGATGTTACTGTGCATTTGCTGCCTTTATCCTTCTAGCGGGTAGAAACCACAGGTTTGGAAGTTGCTGTCAGAGGAAACCTGGTGAGTTGCATCCTGTAAACGGTACACAGTGTTACTACTGTGTTGATGGTGAAGGGACTTAAAGGTTTAATGATAGACCAGTCTGAATGAATGCAAGAACTGCTTCATTATCAGAGTAGTTGTGAATGAAAATGAATATTTTGTGGTTATTAGCAAACATATCCATTTCACACCTTGTGGTGGTAGGAATATCATTGGTGAGTTACTCAAAAATAATTGGACCAGGAAATTCACAGTGATAGCTTGCGCTCAGATGGATGGCCTCCAACTACCACAACTGCTTCCTCAGTTTTTCTATTATGCCAGCTGGTTCAAAGTTTCCTCTGGTTGCCATTGATTTCAGTTTTGTTCAGACTTCTTGATGTCATTGATCAAATGCTGTCTTGATGTCAAGAGCAGTCACTTTCACCTCATTTCTAGAATTAAGCTCTTTTGTTTATGTTTGGACAAAAGCTGAACAGTGTTTTAGAACTAAGCGCTCCTGGTCAGCACAATTCTACAAAAAGCAATGGTCCTAGTCTGAACTCTGGAAGTTCCACTTCATCAAACTGACATACTGCAGAGACTATGGTGTGGGAAGCTGTGGAATGAAACAGAATTTGAGTCCTAAGCTTTGGCGATTTGGGATATATTTTAGAGTAATTCTATCAATGTTACTGACGAATTTGTACAGAATTATAAAGTACAAAGGGTCATTGGGCCCCTTGCTAGCTGTTTGAAAGAGATATCTACTCATTCCCACTCCCTGGATGTTTATTGCCATGCAGTTCTTGTTTTTTTTAAAGTAAATTAATTATTTTTGAACTTACTGTTGAGCCTGCTCCACCTTTTCAGGCAATGTATTCCAGAGCATTGTAATGCACTGCATGCAGAAAACATTTTTCCGCAGCTTTCCTCTAATTCTGTTGCCAGTTACCTTAAATTGGTGTCTTGTAATTGCTGATGCCAGTGGCAATAATTTAGAGAAACACAATGGGTAAATTGAGTATTTTGACTTTATTAACTTGTGGTGCCATTTGTTTATATAACCTATTCTTCCAACAATGTATTCATCTGAGAGTCTGAAATCAACGTTGCAGTGGAAGCAATTTTGAAATATATTAACTAAACATTGCGATAGTTTCATTATGGGTAACTGCAATGACTTGACTGGTATTCATTAAAAGATATTGATTAATTAAATATTTCAATCTTGAGAAAGCCCTTGCACTCTTGGCATTTTGATGTTTATGTTTCCTTAAATTAGGCATGGTTAACGTAACAGATGTTGATCATTTAGATGTCAGCTGCAGCTTAGTTAATAGCTCTTTCACTTCTGTATCAGAAGGTTGTATGTTCAGGCCCCATTCCAAAGGAATTCACATAACCCACATTGGTAATTCTAGTGCAGCACTGTGGGAGTTTGCAGTATTAGTCATGCTGTCTTTCAAATGAGGCATTAAACTCAGCCATGACCTAACCTCTGCAGTGGATCTTGTGGTGCCATTTTGATAGAAAGTTCTCACTAATGCCCTGGCAATATTTAGACCTCAGCCAAAATCTTACATAAAATTAAGAACTGGAAATCTAAAACAAACACAGAACGGAGGAGAAACTCCACAGCTCTGGCAGTTTTGAGACCAGAGTTCCAGTTGCCAAATTATAGAATATAGAGATCCTGGGCAGGGTGCACAGATGAAGATAATACCAGAAATGCACGTTTATACTATCCAGAAGGGATTGACAGGATCTCTCTTTCTTGAAAAAAGACTGAGGGATGACCTAATAGAGGTAATTAAAATTATGTAAGGATTCAGTGGTGTCAATATTTTCTCTTGTGTGGAAGATAATAACTGGCAGCATCTGTATAAAATTATTACCAGGAATTCCAGGAGAGAATTTGGAAGGAGCTTCCTAATGCAGAGTGGTGAGAATGTACTGAAGATGTTTGCTGTGATCCATGTTAAATTATGAACAATTACCTGTTTCATTGGGAGAATTCCGATCATTCATTAATGACATCTTTAAAAGAGTGCTTTGATTTCCCAGTTCAATTTGAAAGCCAATAGCAGAGTAACCCCAACAGGCTGACAAGTACCTGCAGCTTTACTTTGTGCTTAAGGAAAACATGCCTGAAATACAAGGCTGTTCCAATGGCCCCTGAGAAGAGAACAGATAAGATGAGGTTTTGAGTGTTGAATCTTCATCTGAACCAGTAAAGAGGTTATTACCCACTTCCAGTGAAGATCCAGAAACATAAGGAGAGACTATTTAATTCCTTTAGTGTGTCCTTCCATTCAGTTAGGTTTGAACTTCGTCTACTCGCCTTGGTTCCTTATGCTTCAGAAGAATTTCGAATTTCTATTTCCTTTCATAGGGAGAAATGCTTCCTGACGTCACCCTTGAACAACCTGACTCTGAGCTTATATCCCATTGTTCTGGGCTCACCCTGAAGAAGTAATAGTTGTTCTGTATACACCCCATCAAATTCAGTTATCATTGTAAACATTTTATTTAAAGGGTGGCAATGATATGGTAATACCATTGAATTATTAACCAGTGACCTTGGTTAATGCTTTGTGTTCTGAAGTGGGGCCACTGGACCCGAAACGTTAACTCTGATTTCTCTCCACAGATGCTGCCAGACTTGCTGAGATTTTCCAGCAATTTCTGAAATTTGTTGTTAATGCTTTGAGGACATGGTTTCAAATTCCACAGCAAATGGTAAATTTTGAATTAATTTAATAAATCTGGAATTAAAAGATAGTTGAATAGTTATCATGGAACCATTGTAGACTGGTTTAAAAATTCATCTGGTTCATTGATGTCCTTTGGGGAGAGTATCTGGTCTGGCCCAGATGTGGTTCCAGATCCACAACAATGTAGTTGATACTTAACTCCTCTCTCAACTGACCCAGTGAGCCACTAAGTTGTCTTGTAAATGAATTAAACTGAATGAGCCACCCAATATCAACCAAGGTACTGGAACATTTCTTCTTGCAAAGTCATCCTTACTAACAGGTGGGAGCTTGGGCCAAAATTGAGAGAGCTATTCTAAAGACCAATCAGTCAATGAGCCTGAAATAGTCGATCTCAGGGAATCATATGTTATAGGTAATATACCAGATGCCCCCACACCAATGGAGGTGGCAGCCCAGTAATATACATTTGGGAAGGAGTTGCCTTGTGAATCAACTCAGGCTCCATGAAATGCCATGGCATCAGGTGAAACATGCCCAAGAAAAGCAAATTGTGATTGCCACTTCTTATATCCATCCTCATCCACCCACCCATTAACCACCCTGTTGATGCATCCGTACTCCTTCATGTTGAACAGCATGTAGATGCAGAGGGTGGCAAGGAGCTTCAATGTCTCGTATCGAAAGTATCAATGGCACTGCTGCAAACAAAGCTGGCCAAGTTCTAAAAGACATGTCTGCTAGCATGAACTTGCAGCAGATGCTGAACAAACCAATTTGGGGAAAAGCTGTACTTGACTCCGTCCTCGTCAGTCTACCTGTTGATGATGCATTTGTCCATTACAGTATTGGTAGGAATGACCATCACATAGTCCTTGCAGGGATGAAGTCCTGCTGTTACATTGAGGATACCTTCCATCATATTCTGTGGCACTGCCACAGAGCTGAATGGAACAGATTTAGCTGTATAAAGATCCTGTATATGCCCACCCCTACTCTACCATTACCATCAATTCAGGAGTTCAATGAAGAGTGCAGGAGGGTATGTCAGCAACAGCACCAGACCTAGCTAAAAATGAGGTGTCAACCTGGTGAAGCTACAACACAGCTACTTGCATGCAAGTGATTTAGCTGTGATCCCACAACGAACAAATTGGATTTAAGCTCTGCAGTCTCGCCACATCCAATAATGAATGGTGTTGGATAATTAAGCAACCAGTGGAGGAAACTCCATAAATATCCCCATCCTCAGTGTTGGAAGTGCCAAGCACATCTGTGGAAAATATGAGACTGAAGCTTTTGCAAGCCTCTTCAACCAGAAATGCTGGATGAGTGACCCATCTTGGCCTCTTCTTGTCAATCTTCCAAATCTTTGTCAAGAAATGGCTGAAGACATTGGATACTACAAAGACTGAGCCCTGATAACATTCCAGCCATAGTACTGAAGGTGTACGCTGAATGGAGCCACATCCCTAACCGAACTGTTCCAGTACAGCTACGACATTGGTATGTAACATTGTGAAAAATTGGCCAGTTATCTCCAGTCCTCAAAAAGACAGCAAATCCAATCTAGCCAATTACCCTTCAT